CCGCTTCATTTGATACTGGATTTCATGATTAAGATTGTCCAGTCTGGTTTTTCTGATTGTTCCAGACCAGGTTCTGTTTTTAGTTGTGTTGACTTGAGTTGCACATAGTGTGTATAGTATAGTTGTGCTGTACCTATCATACAAATCAAACTTGCAATATTAAGCCATAGGTGGCAAGTACAAACAAGATATTAAACTTTTAGAAAGATGCAATGTTTTTTATTTAAGGTGCTACATCATTTCCAAACTTAACTGAAATGCTTGTTTGTGTCTTAGCATCATCAGATCATCCAACAGTACATGGTGACCTTGGAGAACCTTCTATTCACAGCAGAATTGGATCATCACATACTAGCTGTATTTCAGCAGTTCTGTGCACTCCAGGGCTGAGTAACTTTTTTTTTTTTGGTGTAGGACTTAATTTCATTTTGTTAAGTTTAATTCATAGAAAACTTTGATGGGAAAGAAAGGAAAAAAATATAATCTGAAAGTGTGTTGTGCTAAATAAGCTACACAGTGCTCAAATTTTCAGCAGTAGGGGTCTTATGCTAGTTATGATTCCTGGAGGTTTGGGATAGAATAACGTGTGGATTTCTAAATTTGAAATGGATTGAATGTTCACTCTGCCATAGCACCCCTTTTGTGCCCTCCTATTGTTGGTATAAAAGTTAAAAATAGAAGACAATAAATAAACGTGGCTCTTTGTTTACCCCTTGCATATTATGCGACGGGTTCCATAATAATGTGAAACAAGTCTCAAAACATACGGATCTGTCTGAAGATGTCCTTTCTGGTGGTAATGCTCAAAGCTCCATAAGAAACCGAAATCTCAAATATATGAATATTTAAACGGCCAACTCTGCAAAGAACTTTTGGGTATGTTTGCTATCAAAATGAATGATCATGGTTGTATGAAACATAATTGAAATACAACATGTTTTTTTTTATATTGGTCTAATGTGCTTATTTTGGGTCACCCAGAATAGAAACACACTTAATTACTGAAGCAACCATTTGTGCTGCTCATTTGTAATGCAGATATAAGTTGCATTAAGTGACTTAATAAAAGCTATCAACACTAGCCTGAACTGCCTTCCATAGCTCAAGATTGTCTGATTACTATGGAGAAAGTGTATTTTTGTTTCATCGGCCTAGACCAAGAAGACAACCAGGGCTCTTGTGCTTCTTTTTATTTATTTGTGTTTACTCATAAATTGGATAAGCCAAATCATTAGATTAATGGCTGGCTTTGCCAATATTGTTATCAACGTCTTAACTTGAGAGTAAGAAACTTGAGAGTTACTTAAGGGCCTATCCTTAATAGTAGAAAATATATACAGCTCAGAGCTGAATTACTGGGTTCTTAGTATTCCCATTTATCGTTACTAGGCAAGACAGCACATTGAACTGCTAATGACATCCAGCC